CCAAGGGTTCGGATCCCTATATAGGGATGGCCAGTTAGCTCACTTGGGAGAGCGTGGTGCTGACAACACCAAGTCAAGGGTTAAGATCCCCTTACTGGTCATCTTTAAAAAAAAAAAAAAAGTCACAGTGTCCCTCCAATTAGAAGAGGGGTTTATGGGGGTCAGGTGATTAATGGAATCTTAGCTCAGATCTTGCTCACAGTGAATCCAGTGGGTGCCCAAACCCTTCCTGTGGTTATTTCTCCAGTTCCAGAATGCATAATTGGAATAGACATACTTAGTTGCTGTCAAAATCTCCACATTGGAAGGAAGATTTTATAATTGACAGATGTCTGTAGATTGAGAGGTCTATAGAAGGCCTTTTATGTGTAAAATGTGTCCCCCCCAAAGGTTCATGTATTGGAAACTTGATCCTCATTGTTATTACATTAACATTATTATGTTAAGAGGGCGGGAAATCCAATTATGGTATTTGAAAGGTGGGGCTTTAAAAGGTGATTAGATTGTGAGGACTGTGCCCTCGTGAATGGATCGATCCATTCATGGAGTAATGAGTGTGATTCGGGTAGCTTTTTAAGGAGAGTGAGTGAGAAGTTTAGCTCTCTCTTGCTCAGCCTATTCTCCCACCCCGTGATACCCTGCATTGAAGGCCTTCTCCAGACATATCCCCTGGACCTTGAACTTCCTAGCCTCCAAAACTGTAAGAAATAAATTTTATTCTTTATAAATTATCCAGTTTCAGATATTCTGTTATAAGCAACAGAAACAGACTAATATAAGGCCCTTACAAATGTTTTTAAATCTAAATATAGCCCTAGATATGCACAATTTAATTTTATAAAATTAAATTAAGTAATATAAGCTATTAAGTTCTTAAAATTCATTTTTATGTTCTTATCTTTTTCACAACCAAATAGTTTTGGCATGATAGTCATGTTATATACATGAGATAATTTAATAAAATAGAATGCTAAGTGAAGCAAATATTTAAGCATTAAGCATTTAAATAGATTTTACTTTCAGTTATGTAAGTTCTGTTCTAGTTTGAGTGACACAGAAATGTACACTAAGACCTATTTTTGTTAAACATGAAGTGGAGGCACAAAAAGAGTGACTGCTTGAGTTTCACAGAGGCCCACTCTGTGGATGTGATGCTTCTAGCAAGCAGACCCAGGGTAAGAAGCAAACGATGAAAAATAAGTCCACCCATATTACTGTCAGCCGTTATCTTCTTCCTAGACAAATGCAAACTGTTCGTGTCACGTATCCACATATCTACCCAACCTCATCTGGAATCAATGAGAATGGGCAGGGGCACCATATCAGTGACTCTTCCCCTGCTAATCTAAAAGGGTTAGAAATCAGCTGCTCTCTATAAAAGGCTTAACACACTTTAAAGGAGCCTAATCATCTCAAAGGAGCAATTTCCTTTATTAATTGAAAGCAGCTGATTTTTACAAAAATCCGCTTAAAAATCTAGAATATTTGAAACAAAGAAAATTTTACAACAGAGGGGAAGCCAAGGACAACTACATGGGCTCTGGCCTTATGGCATGGTCAAGAAGTTAAGCCCTCTGCTAAGTCAGACCTCTCTTTATTAAAATCCCAGTGCCAACACTTTGGTGATGATTTTGGTCAAATTATTTAACTTCTCCAGTCTGCAGTTTCCTCATCTGAAAAATGGGATAATAATACCTATCCATTAGGTTGTGTCAAGGATTATACAGGAAAAGGCATACAGAGCACTTAGCACAGTGCCAGCTAGCACTTACTCAGTGATCCATAAATAATAGGCTAATAGAATCACCCCCCGACAGAGATGTATACACAACTAGACTCCAAGCTTGCTCACAATGAAGCTAACAAATTTCATAGAGAAAAATTTAACTTCTATTGCATTTTTTAGGCATTCACAGAAAAGACATGGCATCCAAAAAGTAATAGTTGAGTACCAACCAGCAGGATTTCTCAAAGGCAGGACCTTATCTGAGGCACACATTTTCAGCCTGGAACCTGGAATTTCTTAGCACAACACAAAAAAGTTAGTTTTTTGGTGAGAAATTCAGCCAGAGTTAGTCAACAGAACACTGATTTTCTAGTCAGATGATCCTAGATTCAAACTTTAAAATCCATCACTTACTAGCTGTTTGTCTTTGAGCTTCAGTTTCCTCATGTGTTAAGATAAGAATAAGAAGAGTAGCAAGTTCTCATCTACTGCCTACAAAAAGTGTAGTTCTCATTACGGTATTCTACATCAGAGAGATAATGTATATAATCACCTGTCCTAGAGCTTCAGTAAATGTGTTTTTGTTTGTTTTTTTTCATTGGAATCTTTCAGTGAGGACGATGGTGGTGGCTAGAGAAACCCTGGGATTTAGAAACCCAGGAAGTTGAGTTACAAATCTATTTTGTCTGTTGAACAGAAAAATGAGGACACAGGAAAAAATGATTGGGAAGAATTCTAGTTATCAATTTGTTGCCTCAGCTCCAAATCCACCCTTTATTCTCTGTTTAGCTGCAAATCTACTAGTCTGGAGATAGATTTTGTATCTCTCCTTTGCAGCTGGCACGATGTTAATATTTATCACTAGAGGGCGCTGGAGGGACACCGCAGGAGATTATTCTGATTCACCCACTGTGCTCCTCCTAGCAGGTTTCTGCAGACCAGGTTCCTGCCGCAGGTGTGGCAGCCAGCAGCATCTGGTGGCCAGAACAAAGCAACACTTCTGTGGCGATCTCTACTCAGCATCTCCTCGGTGGCTTTACGACGCCTTCCTGGGAGTGGCACCTCTTGTTTATGGCTTTCCCTTGAAATTCAGAGGGCAAATTCCCAATGATTCCCAGCCATGGTTCCCAGTTGGCCAGCCTCTGCCTGCTTGGACCTAAGAAGGGTATTTCCTGCTAGCTATTTCCAGCTGAAATTCCTAGTTTGTTAGTCTTTGCTCAGACCAGGTGTGGGCCGCTTTGGCTCAAATCAACCCAAGGACTTCTCTGTCCAATGGACTTGTACAATGAGATCTGATTCCCAGCCTTGGGGAGGGGTCCTTTTTTCCAATTTTGTTCTCTCAGTGGGTATACTCTCTCAGCCTTCAGGTTCTCACTTTACAGTTAATCCTCTGCTGAAGTTAACTTTTTAAATTAAACTTTCCTTTCCAAATTATGGTATGGTTTCTGCTCTCTAATTAAACAATAACTATAAAGGTAGGTCCTTTATCCAACCTCTGTGAAAACCTAATGAACTTCATGCTGCCATTAAAGTACACTTCTTGTGACCACATTTCCTCTGTCCCCCATATCTGCCCGGGAAGTTCTGAATAAACAATGGAGATTTTTTTTTTTTTGTCCTTTTTGAGACCGGGGGCACCACGCTCAGCCAGTGAGCGCCGGCCATCCCTATATAGGATCCGAACCCTCCGCGGGAGCGCTACTGCGCCCCCAGCGCCGCACTCTCCCGAGTTTGCCACGGGCTCGGCCCGAGATTTTGTTTTTTTATGTGAATCATTCCCTTTTGTCAATCCATCCTTGGTTAAGCTCTATAAATTTCATTGAACTGTCAAATCAGTATTGATGGGAGCCTACAAATGTTATGCCTTTCTCAGTTTTCAGTTGATTTAATTAGGTTGATTTATACAGTCCTAGAATCCACCTCACTCACACTGCAGCTTGCCCCTTCCAGCTGAGGTGATTGGGAAAGGCTTCATGGAGGAGATGGCATTTGAGTTGGACCTTGATGGAAGGATGGGATTCTACAAAACTGAAATATAGCCACAATCATGAGAATATTCCAGGCAGAAGGAAAAGATATAGAGGTATGCCCATTTATCTGGAACAAACACATTGGATAGAAAAAAAGTAGGAATATAGTTGGGAAGAAGGTAGAGTCAGATCATGGAAGGCCTTGAATGCCAGGCAAAAAACATGGAAAAGCATCATCTTTTCATGAAGATTTGACTTTAGTGTAGAATAGATTGAATACGGGCATGATTCTAGGACCTAAGCAAAGACACTAGTGAGAAGACTATTCTAGTAACCAAGATATGAATCAATGTGGACCTCTACTAGAGCAATAAAGGTAGGGGAAATGCAAAGGAAGGAATAGATATATAAGAACAACGTAAGGGAAAAACACTTTAGAATCTGAGTGAATGGATATAAGAGAGGAAATCTTGATGATTCTAGTTGTCCAGTTTGTGTATGGCAACAGAAACAGGATCATAGGAAGAAAGTATTACTGCTAATCCAGCTAGAATGTGCTAAGAGGAATGGAAAGTTCCTACACTAAATATAACTGGTATGTCGATGTAATAGTTCAAATATGTTATCTACTTATTTATTTATCCATTCTCCTATTCCCTCTTTAAAAAGGGATCAGTGGAGGAAGTTATTATTTCCCTGAATGAAAATTTGACAGGTCCTATAATTTTTGTGTTAATTTTTAGATAGGAGATAGTTCTGAATGTCACAGAGTCTCAATTAGGTAAATAGTATAACAGTGACTTTTCAGTTAAAATTTATCCCCTGTTTAAATTGCTTGTTCTTTCAGTAAAACTCCCATAACTAACTGATGGAGTTTGGATGTATTGTCCTCCCAGAACTCATGTGGAAATCTGATCCCTAATGTGGCAATGTTGGAAGCTGTTTGAGTCACAGGGCAGATCCCTCGTGAATAGATTAATGCTCTCCCTAGGTGGGGGTGGCGAGTGAGTACCCCCTCTATTAGTTCCCCTGAGAGTTGGTTGTTTAAAAGACCTGGCACCTCCCCTCTCTTTCTTTTGTTTCCTCTCGCCATGTAATTTTCTTGTACCCATTGGCTGCCTGCCGCTTTCCACCATGAATAGAAGCAGCCTGAGGCCTGTGCCAGATGAAGCTGTCTCAGAATTGTAAGACAAATAAACCTCTGTTCTTTATAAATTACCCAGTCCAGGTATTCTGTCATAGCAACACAAAAACCCACTAAGACACTAACCTCTCATTCTGTTTTTTCCTATTTGCCTTTTAAGATAATACCTCTAGAACGGAAGTCATGAGTTGTGTGCCTAAGGTATTGGCAGTACTGTTGGGGTTAGCTGGCCCAATACAAATTAGGCTAAACTGGTTGAGCCTAAAGACCTCTCTACTGAGCCTGAACAAATGTCTGATGGGTGACCTTTTTGATGTTAGAGGGCCAGAAACTCCACCTCCAGATCCTGCTAACGCTGGCATTTTCTGAACATGTAGAGACATGCAGATGGCTTGAACCTGTGCAGATCACTGAAGAACTTCTTCAGACCTTCTAACCAGTCACGACCTCCCACACCTCACCTCATCTCTAACAGTTTTCCCATAAAGATCTTTTTCTTCCTGATGTGAACAAGTTGGATTTGAGATATATTTCTTGATCTTTTTACTTGGGCACTTTGTTAATAAACTTTTCCTCTGCTGCAAAGACCGGTGCTTTGGTGTTTGGCTTTTCATTGCACATGTGCAAAAAAAATTTCATTTGGTTCAATAACAATAGAAAGTCCAACCCAAGATATTAATAGAATTCTGAACTATATTATGTGTTTAACTTCAGCTCCCGATGGAGTTTGGATGTGTTGTGCCCTCCAAAACTCATGTGGGAATTTGAGCCCCAATGTGGCAGTGTTGGAAACTGATTGAGTCATGGGGGCAGATACTTCATGAATGGATTAATGCTCTCCCTGGGGGAAGAGGGGTAGTGAGTGAGTTCTCACTCTATTAGTTCCCGTGAGACCTGATTGTTTAAAAGACCCTGGCACCTCCTCTCTCTCTTTCTTGCTTCCTCTCGCCATGTGATCGGCTTGTACCCACCGGCTGCCTGCCACTTTCCGCCATGAGTAGAAGCAGCCTGAGGCCTGTGCCAGTTGCAGCTGTCCCAGAATTGTAATCCAAATAAACCTCTGTTCCTTATAAATTACCCACTCGCAGGTAATTCTGTTATAGCAACACAAAATGGACTAATACAGCCCCCCAGCACAGATCTGCCTGAGGCTAGAAGTGGAAAAGGGGCCTGTAGTTGGCTTCAACTCAGTGTCTCCCTCCATTTTTACTCTTCCTCTTTCCTAACCCTGTCAGTTTCTGACCCCCAGAAAGTTCAAACAGGAGGGGTAGGTCTAAAGACTCTAAAGGGAAAGGAAAAATCTTGTAAGAACAGGGTATTATTATAATTTGTCTCAATGTACTCTGCACCTGCAGATGTTTAGAGCCAATTTTTCTGTTATGAGCACTATCCCTTGTTCCAGACAGATACATCTCCACTTCAGGTGGCCACTTGAGGCTCTGTCTGTGGACTTTAACTTACTGCTTGTGTCCCTCTGCTTCTTCAGGTGGCCCACTTGGATTGGGCCCAAGGTGACCTTGTGCCTGCTCTCTCTCCTGTGGGTGACAAGCTCTGTATACTCTGGGTGTATAGACTATAGCACAACATCCCTCTCCTGGCTCTGCCACTGAGAAGTTGGCCTCTGGCAAGAGTCAAACCTTTGTGCTGCTGCAGGAATAACATTTGAAGCTCTCTGAGTAGCCCTAGGAGCCTCTCTTACCCTGTGAAATGGCAGGTCCCTCCTTCCCCCTTAGGACAGGAATGGCACAGAGTTCACGGCTTAAACCCAAACCACACACAGTGTCTTCTTTTAAAGATATTCTTCTTACAGAAATCTTTCTCTCCACACTTTTTCTTTATTCAAAGGTCATAAAACCAATTTTTGAAGCCATATTCTTTATAAATTCTTCGTAAGGGGCTCTGTCTTGAATCTTACATGTATTATAGTGTGCTGTCTCAGTGGAAACTTCAATGGGAATATTCTCTTACACAAAAGCTAAATCACAATGGTAATTTTTTTCTGAATTTCTTTTATAAAGCATAAGTTAAGTCAATACTATAATTTTTGTATTAAAAATGTATACATCTATGTATTTTATAAACCAAATATGTATTTATTTAAATACATATAAACTATATACATATTTAAAATTAGATTTACTCTTTTTTTACCCTTTTGTTATAGTGAAATTTTATGTTTTATTAAGAAAACTTTGAGACAGCTTTCATAGATTTGGTATATTCGTTTCCTATTGCTGATGTAACAAATGACCACAAACTTAGTGGCTTAAAAGAACACAAACTTCTTATATTACAGTTACGGAGGTCAAAAGTTTTAAATGGGATAAAATCAAGGTGTCAGTAGGGCTGCATCCTTTCTGGCAGCTCCAAGAAAAAATTCCTTGTCTTTTCCAGCTCCTAAAGGATGCCAGCATTTTAGTCTTTGGCCTCTTTCCATTTTCAAAGCCCACAATGCTGGTTGGTTGAGTCTTTCTCACACTGCTTCACTCTAACAGATTCTTCTCCCTCTCCCACAGTGAAAGACCCTTGTAATTGTATTGAGCCCACCTGGATATTCCAGGATAATTGCTCTATTTTAGCAGAACCAGTAGGAGCTATATATTCAGAGATGTATAAGCAAGGAATTGGCTTATGCGATTGTTGGGCTGGCTAAGCAAGTCTGAAATGTAGGCTTTTGTGGTCGTCTGAGGACATGCACAGAGCAGAGAAAAATTTGAGTCGCCTGCCGGGCATGTTCCCAGCTGAGGTTATCCAAGGCAATGCTCTCTCTGCCTTCTTGTTTCGCCTGTCATACAGAGATGACCCGAGGATGGCGCCGGTAGGGGGCAGTGCAGTGTAGTGCGAGAATCTCCAGCTCTGGGGTCAGTCAGAAGTTTGAATCCCAATCCTGGCACATGTTAGTGGGGCAGCCTCGGGCAAGTCATTTAACACTTGTAACCCTTTTTTCACCTTTTAAAAGAAATTAATTTTTTATTTTGAGGTAGTTGTAGTGTTTTCACTTCTGTAAAATAAAGAAAATAGGATCTACTGGGATGAATTGTTTTTAGAATTTAAGATTTTAATCTACATGAAACATGTTTGTATATACATGAAATGTATATACCCCCTAAGGGCAATTGCGATTGTCCAATATTTGCTAATTCAGTGTTTGCAGCTACTTTATAGGACATAACTACCACAAATAGCAGGAACTGGCTGTACTAAGAGATACCCTATGGTATCTCCTGTATATTCACTTTTTTCGTTGTGTGGTAATAACCCAACTTCCCCTTGATGATCAGGACAAATCACTCCAGGTAATACACAATACACAACTCCTTTTCTGCCTGTGAATGTTATGTAAATGGAATCGTACTTTATGTAACCTTTTGAGACTGGCTTTAAAAAAATATTTTGTACTCGGGATCTTAAAAAAAATTAACATTTACTTGTACGTATTTGTACTAAGGGGGTACAGTGTGTTTTTTCAATACGTGCATATACTGCACAATGATTCACTTGGGATAGATAGCATAGTTTTGTACCCATTAGTCCACCACTCCTTCTCCTCCCTGACCCCGTGCCCCCCTCCCCTCGGCCTCTGGTAACCATTATTCTACTCTCTATTTCTACGAACCCCACTCCCCCTTTTTTGTCCTTTCTTTATTATTTTATTTTTTTAGATTTCACATATGACTGATATCATGCAGTATTTGCCTTTCTGTGACTGACTTACTTCATTTAACCTGATGGTTTCTAGTTCCATCCTGCTGCAAATGATAAGAAATCATTTCTTTTTAGAGCTGAATAGTATTCCATTCTGTATATATACCACAAATTTTTTATCCATTCATCTGTTGATGGACATTTGGGTTGATCCCCTTTCTTGGCTACTGTGAGTAGTACTACAATGTACATGGGAGTGCAGGTGGCTTTTTGATATATTGATTTAATTTCCTTTGCATATATATACCTCATAGTGGGATAGCTGGATTATAAGATAGATCTAGTTTTGGTTCTCTGAGGAACCTCCATACTGTTTCCCCCAATGGCTGTACCAATTTGCATTCCTACCAGCAACGTAGGAGAGCTCCGTTTTCTCCGCATCCTCACCAGCATTTGTTATTTTTTGCCTTGTTGATAATAGCCATTCTAACCAGAGTAAGATGGTATCTCATTGTGATTTTAATTTGCATTTCCTTGATGATTAGTGATGTTGAACATTTTTTCATGTGCCTGTTGGCCTTTGTATGTTTTCTTTTGAGAAATGTCTGTTCAGGTCCTTTGCTCATTTTTTAATTTGTTTGTTTGTTTTCTTTCTGTTCAGTTGAGTTCCTTACATCGTCAGAATATTAGCCCCTTGTCCAACATGTAGTTTGCGAATGCTTTCTCCCATTCTGTAGACTGTTTACTTCATTTTGGTGACAATGTCCTTTGCTGTTCAGAGGCTTTTTAGTTTGAGGTAGTCCCATTTATGTACCTTTGCTTTAGTTGCCTGTGCTTTTGTAGTCTTGCTCAAAAAAGCACTGCCCACTCATTTCATGCAGCATTTCCCCTATGTTTTCTTCCAGTAGTTTTTGAGTTTTGAGTCTTAAATTTAGGTTTTTGATCCATTTGGAGTCCATTTTTGTATATGGTGAGAGATCGGGGTCTAGTTTCAGTTTTCTCCATGTGTATATGTAGTTTTTCAAGCACCATTTGTTGAAGAGGCTGTCCTTTCCCCACTGTACATTCTTGGCACCTTTTTTGAAAATTAGTTGGCTGTGAGTGCATGGGTTTATTTCTGGACTTTCTATTCTGTTTCATTGGGCAGTTTGTCTGTTTTAATGCCAGTATCATGCTGGTTTGGTTACTATAGTGTTACAGTGTATTTTAAAACCAGGAAATGTGATGCCTCCAACTTTGTTCTTTTTGTTCGAGATTGCCTTGGCTATACAGGACTTTTGGTGGCTCTAAACAATTTTTAAGATTGTGTTTTCTATTTCTGTGAAGAACATAATTGGTATTTTGATAGGGATTGTGTTGAGTGTGTACATTGCTTTGGGTAATATGGACATTTTGATGAGGTTAATGCTTCCAACCTATGAGCATGAGGTATCTTTCCATTTATTTGTGTTCATTGTAGAGGTCTTTCATCTCCTTGGTTAAATTTACTCCTAGATATTTTATTTTTTTGGTAGCTATTATGAATGGGATCACTTCCTTGATTTATTTTACCTATTTTGTTATTGGTGCATAGGAAGGCTATTGATTTTTGTGTGTTGATCTTGTATCCTGAATTCATTTGTTAGTTCTAGTAATTTTTTGTTGGAGTCTTTAGGGTTTTCTATGTATAGGATCATGTCATCTGCAAATAGGGATAGTTCAACTTCCTCCTTTCTGATTTGGATGCCCTTTATTGCTTTCTCTTGCCTTATTGTACTGGCTAGAACTTCCAGTAATAGTAGGGAAAGTGGACATCCTTGTCTTGTTCCAGATCATAGAGAATAAGCCTCCAGCTTTTGTGCATTCAGTATGGTATGAGCTGTGGGTTTGTTGTATATGGCTTCTATTGTGTTGGAGTACATTCCTTATATACCTAATTTGTTGTGTGTTTTTGTCATGTAGG